TGTACATAGGGTTGCTATGAGTTGCAGGCGACTCAACGGCACATAACAACAACAACAAGTCCTCACACATTTTTAATTAGTAAACCTGAAAATAAGTATGCAAACATGTTTCATTTCCAGGTCACCTCGAGTTCTACTGTTGTCATCTTCTCCTTAAAACGACTTGGCCTTTCTCCAGGCAGCGTCCTAGGCCGCTGTGTACGTGAGCTGCTTCAGCAGGAGCCAGGATCCTCCCACAGGGCGGGCGACAGACCCTCCACAACCCTGGGTTCCTCCAAGTTCCTGCCCAGACCCCACGGGTACTAACACACTCACTCTGATCCTCATGCCACTTCGCGTTGATATGTTACTGTACTTACCACTGGCTAGGCACTGTCTCAGGTTCCCAAGTGTCTTCAGATACTCGGGCCCTAAGTACTCCTCATAGGTGGTTTGGTTCTGAAGGTTGGCCAAGCATTCGGTGTCGTCACTGAACAGCAGGTCATGGCCTGACGAGCTGAACAGCTGGAACATCGCATATTCAAACCCATCTCTTCCAAAGAGCTCCTGAGTGGGACAGAAACGCAGACAGTGAGTGACTGATCGGAGGCACCAGGAACCTCAGGGGCGTGTGTTCTATGCTCGAAGACTGAAATCCACTAGCCTCCTGGGGATGTGGGACAGACACAGGCACTGGTTAGGAGGCACTGTGACAAAATGGCAAAAAGCATAGTTTTGTTTTGTTCTGTTTTTTCAGCGAGATTGATTCATTTTAATAAGTTGGCTCACATGATTGTAGGTGCATGGTAAGCACGAGATCTTAGAAGAGGTGACATGCTCGAGATATCTTAAGTCTCAAACTCACAGGCCAGGCTACAGGAAGAGTGAAGGGAAAAGGTATAGTGTTAAGAGCTCAACTCTCTGGATTGTGTGACTTTGGGGAATTCTTTACTGGACTCAATGAGTGATCACACTCATTTGTAAATGGAATTAATAAAGTCATTGATGATGTGTGTAAACTCAACCTAACACACAACCCTTCAGCGCTAGAGTTGATTCTACAGGATAATCGACTAGAGAGCTGCAGGCTACAGTAGAACTGCCCCATGGTCTCACCAAGGCTGGAAATCTTTATGGGGGGAAATGGCATCATCATTGCGGGTGGATTCGAACAGCTGACCTTCCAGTTAGCAGCGCAATGTTTAACCAACTAAATCGTCAGGCTTTCTTGGCCATTGTTTTTGTTGGGTGCTGTCGAATTGAGTATCACCCACAGTGATTCTACTATAACAGACCTGAACCTGTCCTATCCCGTCCCATTCTCAGACTTCCTGACACACTCAAGCTATTGCCGGCACCGACTGCATCAAGCCGTCATTAGAATCCAGTTAGTCATTAGAAGGAGCTTCATTTTGCCACTATACGTCTACTTCTCTAATCACTGCAGAGTGTTTTCAACATTCCATATGACTTGTATGTTTTCCTAGTGCATAGAACACCCTGCATCCTAGCCTCTATGAATCTCTGGATATGCCCCAAATATTCAGCCATCTGTACCTCCTTCCTCATTTCTTTCTTTCTTTTTTTTTAAATACGTATCCTTTGTAAACAAAGTGGTAGCTCACCTGTACTTGGGACCTGCCCTTTCGAAAGTCCAAGACTTTTGACTTTGTCCATCTCTTACTTTGCCAGCAATCCCTAGGGCATCGTGGCTTACTCGTGATGCAGGAGCCACACATGCTGATACACAGATAACTGGTTTCAGCCCCTCTAAGAACAGAGCGTGAGAGAGCGTATTGAAAGAGGTTTTTTAATTTCTTCAGCATAATGCGATTTAGGAGACCTAAGGGAGCTCTGGTGGTGGCCTAGTGGCAAGAAGCTGCGCTGCAATTCTGAAGGCGCGGAGTTCAAATTCCTGAAGGCACATGGTTCGAATCCAGCAGCTGCTCCATGGGAGAAGGATAGGAGGGAATCTCCTTCAGTGTGATTAACTACATCTGAAAACTCACTGGAGGGTCAGCTGCGGGTTCCAACCTGATGGTACACAACAACAACGACAAACCCTAACCCTGATGCTAACTAACCTTAAAGCCTCCTCCTTCTCTTTTAAGGAAGAAGCGCTCTCCATTTTCCAGAAGCCTGGAACAACGCTTGGGCTCAGTAAACACATTCCAGTCCAGCCACAGAGCAGCCAATCGGCGATCGCCTTTTCATAATGTAGAGGCCCAGCCTAGAGTGTAGGATGCTGACAAGAGCAAAAGGGACCCTCTCAATGCCCCATGGAGTGACCGAGCAGCCCCAAGACGGAGCACACATCTGCTCAGAGGCCAAGTGAATCTCTGGGAGATACTTCACACAGAAATGTCTGAGACTTTCCCAGCCCTTTTATGTTGAACGTTCACATTTCTCCAGAGGAGCCCCGGCACATAAGGCCTAGTGACTCTCTCTGCTTCCACAAATCACCCACTAAAAACAGAATGGAAAGGGAGCTCTGGCGGCCTCATAGCAAGCACCTGTGCTGCAATCCTGAAGGCACGTAGTTCGAATCCACCAGACACTCTGCTGGAGAAGGAGAGGCAATCTCCTCCAGTGCCAGTCAGATCTGACTCAACGGTACACAACAAGAAAACAAACAGCTTTCTCCCTCCCCGGCCATTTTGTAAGCAGCTCTAGGTGGAGGGATGGCCGGCTGCAAAAAAGACGAAAAAGTCCCTGGAGTCGATCAACTCTAGGCTCCAACTTGTTAGGAAAATGGGAAATAGGTGCTGGGGTACAAGCAGACTCTGAAGATGACCAGGCAAGGAAAAGCCAAGTTGGTCATCCTCGCCCACAACTGCCCAGTTCTGAGGAAACCTGAAGTCAGGTACTATGCCTTATTGGTCAAAACTGGTGTCCAGCACTACGGTGGCAATAATATTGCACTGGGCACAGCATATGGAACATACTACAGAGTAAGCACACTGGCTATCATTGATCCAGGTGGTTCTAATATCATTAGAAGCATGCCAGAACAGACTGGCGAAAAAGAAATCATGTAATATTTTTCTACAATAAAATTGGCCACAGTTTGTTTTGAAATAAAAAGGGGGGGAATGGGGGGAAGAGAGAGAGGGGGAGAGGGGGAGACGGGGAGGGGCGGGGAGGGGGAGAGGGGGAAGAGAGAGAAAGAGAGAGAGAGAGAAGAAAGAAAGAAAGAAAGAAGGAAGGAAGGAAGGAAGGAAGAAAGAAAGAAAGACAAACCCAAAAAGGGAGCAGAGTTCTCAAACACACCATGCTCCAGAGGCATCTGGGTGGAGACTGGTTTGGATTGTGGTTTTTTAATCAGCATTACTGACCAGTCCCAGGTCAAAGAGCAGCCAGGCTTCCTCTTTAATCAGCGGCAGGGCTGGTGGAAGCCATCCTCACAGCCCCATGAGAAAGCTACAGAGGCCGGGTGGGAATGCCTGTGTACCTCCCCCAGGGAACTGAGAACTCATTTGTGGGGAGGGCAGCTGGAGGCCCCGGATGCCCGTACCTGTTGGTTGAGGAGAATTCTGCGCACGAATTCAGCCTTCCCCTTCCTCGAGAACACGGCGTGATTTGGGACTTTGGCCAGGTGGCAGCTCTGAGCCTCAGTCACAGGTCTCCGTGTGCCATCGAGGCACAGAAACTCAAAGTCTTCGTGTTTCAGATCCTTGGCCCATGGTGCAGGGTTCTTTCCTAGGAGAGGAGGAAGCTGGGTCAGCGAAAGTAGATGGCTTTGGTCAGGGGCCCCTCCCTGGGGGATGTGGCCAGCCAGCCGCCAGTGTTCAAGAGAGTCACAACAGACAGAGTCAAAAAACATCTAAAACTCAATGCAAAGTCATTGCCATGGAGTGGGGACCAACTCCTGCCTGGCTCTGCATTGAAAACTGCACAGAAGGAAATCACCCATCATCACTCTCTGGTGGAACTGCTAGGGGAACTTTCATAAGCTGATATGACAAGACACAGAATGAAGAGAAACGGCTGCAAATATCCATCAACAACTGGAACATGGGTGTATGAAGTATGAATCTAGGAGATTGGAAGTTGTGAAAACTGGAGTGGAATGCATAAAGATCAACATCCTAGGTATTAATGAACTGAGATGGACTGGTATTGGACATTTTTCATTTTTAATCAAACAATCACAGGTTCTATATGCTGGAAATGACTGAAAAAGAAGAGGGTAGCATTCAAAGGCAAAGAAAGGCATTTCAAAATCTAGCAAAAAATTCAATCCTGTGAGTGACAGGATACTTATTCACACATATGCAAAGAAATGCTAGTACAATTAATTATTCAACTGGTCACACCCACCACGAAAGCTGAAGATGAAGAAATTGAGTGTTTCTACCAACTTTTGCAGGGAGGATAAGGACATCATGCTTGGAAGGGTGGAGGGACAGTGCAAGATCCTGGAAGACCCTCAAAGAGATGGACTGACTCAGTGACTGGCGTAATGGGGGCAGATGTGTCAGAGACAATAAGGTTGGCTCAAAATAAAGCAGGGTTCAGAGCTGTTGTACACAGGGTCGCTATGAGTCACAAGCAACTCAATGGTACATAATAACAATGGCCGACTTTGCAGTCTGAAATGGATCAAACATACAATCAAGATGTGTGAATAATAACCGATGACTGGAATGCAAAAGTTGGAAATGAAGAAGGGCTGGTAGCTAGAAAATAAGGCCTTCATGACATAAACAAGGCTGGAGATTGAATGATAGAATTTTGTGCAATCAATTATTTATTAGTTGCAAATACTTAAAAAATATAAACACAACTATACACATGGACTTCATCTGATGGACCACAGAGGCATCAGACTGACACATACGTGGAGATGTTCCAGAAGCTTAGTTATCAGCAGTTCAAAACAAAGGCAGTGACTGACTAGGAAACAAACATCAACTAACTACTCGTTATTGCTGTTGTTTTTGTTATATGTTACCGAGTTGCTTGTGACTCCTAGTGACCCTGTGTACAACAGCCCTAAACTCTGCTCTGTCCTGTGCCAGTCACACTGTCTCTGACACTCCCATCCCAATTATGCAAGTTCAAATTAAAGGTGGAGAAAATGAAAACAAGTGCATAAGAACCAAAAACATGACCTTGAATGTATCCTGCCTGAATTTAAAAACCATCTTAAGAATAGATTTGAGGGGAGCTCTGGTGGCCTAGTGGGAAGAAGCTGCACTGCAATTCCAGAGGTGCACGGTTCGAATCCACCAGATGCTTTGCTGGAGAAGGAGGGACAATCTCCTCCCGTACCAGTCAGGTCTGATTTGATGGTACATGCACACAAAAGTATATAAAAAATGTTTTAAAAAAAAACCCAATAGATTTGATACACTGAAACTAACAACTGAAGAGCAGATGAGTTGTGGAATGACATCAAGGACATCACCCATGAAGAATACAAAAGATCACTAAAAAAGAGAAAAGAAATGGGGGAAATCTCCCTAAAATGGTTCCAAAGAGACTTAAACTAGCCTTGGAACAGTGAGATGGCAAAACAAGATATGCTGAGCAGAAAATGTCAAAGGGCAGCTTGAGAAGACAAAGCAGAGTACTATAACGAAATGTCTTGAGGAGCTTAAGTTAGAAAAGAGAAAGTGAAGAATACACTCAACATTTCTCTAGCTGAAAGGACTGAAAAACAAATTCAAGCCTCAGGTTGCAAGACTGAAGGACTGTATGGGCAAAATCTTGACTGGTGCAGGAAGTATCAAAAGAAGATGGAAGGAATGTACAGAGTCACTAGACCACGAAGAATAAGTTGATACTGACCCGTTTCAGGATGTAGCATATGATCAAAAACCAAATAGTACTCCATTGTGTGAATGCACCACAATTTCTCAATCGATTCGTTTGTGGTTGGACATTTGGGTTGTCCCACAAGGATAAATATTGTATAAAACTGTTATTGTAGAACGAGTATAAGGATCCAGGAAGGTGGGAGAGTCTGGAAGCAGAGGGATGTGGATGTGCAGGGGAAGGGGGGGTTAATCATTGGGTTGTACAATCTAATGGGTTGGGGGTGTGCAGGAAATTGAAAGAATTTGTTTGAATTTGTATTTGAGTTTTGTAAACAAATTAGTGTGGGGGGGATTTTTTAAAAATGGGGAAAAAACCCATAATGAATGAGAACAATTATATGAAACAATGTGAATGAAGGGTAGTGTGAACTATAATGGATTTGAAATTTGTATGCAAATCAATATGAAATTTTTTTTAAAAAAAGAATTCTTTTGCAGTAAAAAAACAAAACAAAACACGAAAAACCCAAACAGGACTGAAGGAAGAAGTCCAAGCTGCACTGCACTGAAGGCATAGGCAAAAAAAATAGGACCTCAGTAATTGATGGAATACCAATTTAGGAAACGGATGCACGCCTGGATGTGTTTACCAGTCTCTGCCAACTGACTGGAAGAGATCCATATTTATTCCCAGTCTCAATAAAAGTGATCCAACAGAGTGTGACATCCTTGAACAATATCATTACTATCACAAGCAAGTAAAATCTTGCTGACAATTATTCAAAAACATCTGGAACAATACATGGGCAGAGAATCATCAGAAATTCAAGCTGAAGGAGAGGTGTCACTGCTGATGTCAGATGGATCTTAGCTTAAAAGAAGAGATTATGAAATTGCTCCTGTAAATGTGATTTCTAGTTCAAAGAGTACCTCCAATTAAAAGTTTCATAGAAAACAATCCACTACAGGAGATCAAAGAGGCAGCTTTTTGCCCAGGGATTAAAGCTCAGAAGATGCAAAGGGGTTAATGGAAATGTCAAATAATTTATATCTAAACCAAGAGCATATAAGACTGGGTTTTGCCCCTATCCTCTCTCACACCACTGTTATCAAACATCTTTCTTTTGACTAAACTGGTAAGCCTTTTGCAACATGCCAAGCATCTTTCTATATGTCTTTGGTTTTGGTTGATTTCTCTTCATAGGAGAGTTTTAAATCATCGTTTGGTAAAATTGATCCTGCTCTTGGTTTTTTTGCTCTAAAAGTTTGGGTAGCCTGTTTGAAATACTTCTCCTTTACCTCCCTTTACTCTGGGAGGTAGAGAAGGCTAGGAGAAAGTGGAGTGGAGAGGAGGTTGAATTGGTCACAGGGCCTGAGTTTGCTAGTTCTTGCCCTGATGACCATGAACACAGAGTCCGTAAGCAAGCGGCCTCTGGTAGAACTCATCTCCCTCCACCAACCCCAGTGCGGTCTTACGTAGAACCTTGGGAGTGTACGTGGGTATAAGTTAGACCCCTCACTAGCTCACAGAAGTAACATATGTATGTAAAGGTAAATTATTACAAATTATCCACAATTCATGCCCCATGTGTCTGGCCACTAACACAGTCTTCCCGTTTTTTTGTGAGCTGAGAGAACTAGGCTATGACTTCTGTGTGGAAGCTGGGTTCAAGGGTAATGCAACAGCAGGCTCAACCTTCTAAGCCTGATCAGACGTGAGGTCTTTCTTCATCCCACCTCCTTAAAAAAAAAAAAGCTCTGGTGGCCTAGTAACAAGAAACTGCACCGCAATCCCAGAGGTACATAGTTCGAATCCATCAGATGCTCTGCTGGAGAAGAAGGGACAATCTCCTCCTGTACCAGTCAGATCTGATTTGACGGTACACACACACACACAAATAATAATAATAATAATAATAATAATAATAATAATAATAAATTTTTTTTTTAAAGTTAGCACTGGAAGCTTGACAGGATTCATAAAATTCTAGTTGCCCAAACAGGAGTGGGAGTTAAGGTTGGTGGTTTCCACCCGAGAGATACCCATTTTTCCACAGAAAGGAAGGAAGAACAATGCAGGCACCTACCGTCCGTGTTCTGCAGGACCGTGGAGTGCTTCAGGAAGGCCACATCTCCCTTCTCAACCAGGCATCTGCACAGCAAGGGTCAGAGAGGTAGTGAATGGTGGAGAGGGAAAGAAAGCCCTGAGGTTTCACAGCTGACCCAAGCCAGTTGGTGTATCTGACACTGACCCTTTCCCCACAAAAACAAAAACAAACAGACAAAAACAAACCCCACCCAACATCCAGGCCATTTCTGGGCATACAGGCTGGGAAGCAGAAGGTAATAAAACAAAGCTGCTGTTCCGTTTCTACTCTACATTGTTGCTATTAGTTTCCTTATTTTAAACACTGACTGTTTTCTCCACAGGAGGGCTTCATGTCCTTTTATTAACGGGGAAAATCAAGAGATGACTGTGGTTGCATCAAAACACAAAGCCAAAGATTAGCATCTGTGTGGTGGTTGTTATGCAACCTCAAAGCTGACCCTCCAGAAGGTTGTCAGAGGCAGTAAATCGCATGAGAGGAGATTGCCGGTCCTCCTGCAGAGCCGCTGATGGCTCCGTATGCCTTTAGGTTTGCAGAGCAGTTTCTTACCATTAGGCCACCAGAGCGCCCTTGTGCTTTTGAAGGAATCTTATCACACCTATGTTGTTGTTGTTGTTGTTATATGCCATTGAGTCGCTTGCAACTCACAGCGACCCTATGCACAACAGCCCTAAACTCTGCTCTGTCCTGTGCCAATCGCACCGTCTCCAATACAACCATCCTGATTACCCCAGTCAGTGAATCAATTCACCTCATAGGTGGCCTTCCCCTCCTGCGCTGTCCCTCCACCCCACCATGCATGATGTCCCTCTCCAAGGACCTGTCCCTCCTTGCAACATATCCAAAGTATGTTAGATGGAACCTTAGAATCCTTGCCTCGAAGGAGCAGCCCGGTTTGACCCTCTCCAGGATGAATCTGTTTGTTTTCCTAGCAGTCCATGGTACCCTCAATACTCTTCCCCAGCACCACAGCTCAAAGGCATCAATTCTTCTATCCTCCTTAGTCATTGTCCAACTCTCTGATGCATAACAAGTGATAGCAAAGACCATGGCCTGTATCAGACGCACCTTAGTCTCCAGAGAGACACCATTGCTCTCTAGTACTTTGGAGAGGTCACAACTACAGTCTGCTGTTAATTGTTCTAGTTGGCTTCCACTTTCATACCTGGCCCCCTCCCCACCACATTCACATCGTAAGCACATGGCAAGTGTTCCTTGGAGAGAAGACAGTGCCACTCTGTTCCTCTCCTGCCTTCTGGGGACAGAGGGTGACCAGAGGTCACCCTGCCTCCCACTCAGATGCAGCCTCCCAGGTGCTCTGCACACCATCCTTGCCTCTTCAGAAACTTTTCCGTCTCAGAAATCCACATTGCCTCAGACAATTGTAACCACATCTTCCTGTGACTACAATTCTCAGCCAGTGAACTCTACTCATCAACATTTATACATACACATATAAAAAAAATAAGAAACAGTAAATCCTGTCATGATCCTATACTGTCCCCAGTATCAGGCCTCATCACGGTAGGGACTCAGCACATGCCTGCAAAGAATGGTGGGCAGAAATCAATGATGATTCATTTTACAAAACACAATGTATGGGAAAGATCACATGAAATACAATGTGAATAGTTTCTCCTCTGTATTTCCTTTCAAGGAAGGAAGTCTACCCTTTTGACATGTAACTTTCTAAAAAATCTATCTTTATTACTTCTGCTTCCTTGTCTTTTCCATTTCTCTAAAAAAAAGTTTCAGCCTGTATTTTAATGCTCTGTGCACTAAAGTCTGTTCTCCCAAGAAACACTAAAATTATTGTGCACTGTGCTACCTTGGTATGTGGGCACTGTCCCCTCCTTTAACTATTTCTAATTATAAAGAAAAAAATTAAAAAATTCATAAAAAACAAAATACAATGTGGGTAAAGGAAATGTGTGAAACACAACACATATGAATTCATATTAATTTTGTATGCAAACCAATATAAAATAAACAAAAAATTTTAAAAAGGGGATCACCCTGAGTCAGATGTGATGGCAACTCATTAGTTATTATCATAAATTATAATAAATATTTTTTCATAAACAACAAAAGAGAATCATTCTCTTTGACCATCAGTACCCCTCGCTTTCTCTCCCTGACCTCACCAGTCCAGCTTCCAGGTCTGGCACACTAGGGCCGCCTGTTCTCGGGACACATTTTACATTATCTCTTAAGTTGGTTCGAAATGTTATCCTTGCCGTGGACTGACCTGTTGACTGTGCAGGTCTCTGCCTTGGAACACTATTTTATAACAGGTGTGGGGACAGGTAAGGCAAGAGATAAGCCAAGAGCGGGCGGAATCCTAGAAACTGAGAGAGAACACTTCTCTCAGAGGAGGAGAGATTAGCTATGTCGACGATGCTTGTTCATCAAGCAACACAAGGACTAAGAACTGAGTATGCAACGTGGAAGTCCCTGGTGATTGAAAAGTGTGGTTTCAGTAGTGGACCAAGAGTTGTTGTTGTTGTTGTTGCTGTTAAGTGCCGTTGAGTTGTAGGCAACTCATAGCAACCTTATGAACGAAAGACTTGAATACTTGTATAAGTTTCATTGTTTCTCCAAGTTCATAGGGTTTCTGGAGGCAAGCTACTACAGAAGTGGATGCCACTCCTGCTTCCAGGCTTGTTTTAATCGGGGAGCCCCACCAAAGACTGTCTACCATGGGACCAAGAGCGGGGAGGTATAATGAAAGTAGGCTGCTTAAGTACCAACAAAGAGGAGTTATGTTTTCTCTCCGTAATTTAAAAACAATAAAACCGATTCCATTGGTGAGGAAAAAGGCAGTGAGCATAACCTTGATTTGAGCTCCTGAGAGACTCAGAGAAACTGGAGTTATAGGAAAGAAAAATAGATGTATCTTTTCTTCAAAAGTTACAAGATAGAGTTAAAAGTGAATCAAGAATTCTTCTTCTGAAAATTACTATGAGAAGCTCCCTTATCCATGTATTCTTCTTGTGAATCAGCCAAGGCCAGTTCCTGGTATGCTATTGTCCTCTAAAAGACATTCCAAACATCCTCAAGCCTTAACCCTTGTCCTGTGAAGTACAGGGCAAATTAACAAACCAGGCAGGAACAAGAACAAAACCAAGTTAAAAATCCCTGAACAAGAGAGCTCTGGTGGCCTAGTGGTAAGGAGCTGCACTACAGTCCTGCAGGTGTGCAGTTTGAATCCATCAGATGGTTTGCTGGAGAAGGAGGGGCAATTTCCACCTGCACCAGTCAGTGATGGTACACATATAAAAAAGAAAAAAAGCCTCCCAAATTCTTGACTAAAAATTGAAGTAAGTGGCCTGTCTAAGCTGACATAGCTATTTAATTTTAAATCCAGATTTTATGACATCTCCATTAATATAATCTTTCTGTGCCATATTTTGCACTTGAGATTTTATTTAAGACTAAATAAAGTTAGATTTTTTTAAAAATGGGAAATTCTACTATATCTCACTATGTTCTCATGGGTTAAAATAGCTATGAATGTGAGATATAGACAGACCATGGCTTGGAGACTTCTACTAAGTCAAAGTCTAAAATTTTTAAAAAAAAAGCGAAACATTTTCCTATTTTATCTTTTTTAATCTATTTTTATTATTATTATAATTTTAATGAAAATTTACAGAGACTTTGGATTTCCATTCATTCATTGTTGCCCTTTTCTCCCCGCCCAACCCTCCCCTCGAGTTCACTCTTCTCTTTGAAAAGTAAAAGAAAAACTCTTTCATTGTTATACAGTCCCTCCCCCAGGTCCACTCCACTATGCAGCCTTCGTTCTGGACTCCTGTCCTGACAATAATACCTATTTTTAAAGTAAAAATAGCACTGAGTAAAAACCAATATGACAAGACAGAGCCTTAGATTCTTTTTTTTACTGTCTACCAGCGTGCTTGTTGGTCAGATTTGGGCCTGCATGCACATCCTTCTGCAGAAGAAAAATGTTTTGCAGAGATTTTTTTGTTGTTGTTCTGCTTCGTTTCTGCTGTGACACCAAAGCACGTTTGTAATAAAGTGAACAAGGATGTTCTGTTGTCTCTTGCCTCTTTAAGCAAGAAATTGGCAGCTGTTGAGGAGGAAAGTGAGACAGAGAGCTATTTTATTCATTTTCATGTGGGAAAAGGAGCAGTATATTTGTATTTTCATGGAAATGAGGTAGTGGTGAAATGCATAAGGAAAGGGGGAAGATTCCTGGGGCATTGCGCTTACACAGACTCAAGGGAATACAGTCTAGGTGGGTGCAGGGCTGATGTCAAACAGGCAGTTGTGGGCACAAGTCAGGCAGGTGGAGAGGTGTGATAGTGAGGGGTTAGGGAATGAATGTCGATAGCTTCAATTCTCCCAGGTTGTGTTGTAGGTGGGAAGGGGTGTCAGAGTTCAGAAGAGAAGAGAAATCATGCAATCGTCTTCTAGAAGAGGAGGAGTGAAAATGGCTTATGCAAGGATGGAAGTCACTATTTTAAAGGAGGCCAGTTAGCCTGAAAGTGTAGGTAAAGAGTTAGGTACTCAGATAATTCTGGGTCCTCTGTCTCAGTGTCGTAACAGCACCAAAATGAGACCATTGATCCCAATGCCAAAAAGTGCAAAGCAAAAAAAACCCTGTTTTTAGCATAGGTGTTAACGTTCAACATATATTGTTGTAGTTGTTGTAACTGAGTTACAGCTGACCCTTTAGAGGGGTTTCAGAGGCAGTAAATCACGTGAGAGGTGACTGTTCATCTTTCTCCCATGCAGCTGCTGGCTGATTCGAACCGCGCGCCTTTGTGTTGGCAGCACAGCTTCTTACCACTAAGACACAGGAGCTCCCTATTGTTGGAGTGGGATCTCTAAAAAGGCCATCTATCTGTGAACTACAGAAGGGACAAGACTTTAGAGGGGGCAGGGCAAAGCAATGGACAGTGGGTGTTTTCTAGAGCCTTCTAAGTCGGATTTAGGATTTGATGCTAGGCCAGCTGGCCTTACGTCTCACCCTCCTATCTTCTTATATCGTCCATACCACACACATAGGGATCCTCTT